TTACTATCTGTACTTCTGTCGAGCTCAATTTCTTTTCCTGTATGTAGTTTTAGATGGAAAATCATGTTTAGCTTAGGGGTTGCAGAGTGACAATGGTAAAGTGCATAAGAGATGAAGAAGTTTAACGTATGTACAAGGGAGTAACTATTGTTATGAACTGGGGGTTCATAACCGGATAAAGGGGCATGGTTAAGTAGCTCCCAGTGAACCAAACTGAGTGCATAGAGACAGGTGTGTGTGCGCGTCAACACACACTCACGCACACACAGCCCTCTGAGAAAAATATAAAAAGTCACTCCCAAAGGCACTAGAAAGGAAAGATGCAGGCAAAATTGAAATGGAGTGAGCCTTTGTCAGAACAGGCAGCCAGTGAGAATCCTGCTTTTATAGAAACTGAGGCAGGTCCCATTTGGCATTGGATAGTTAATACTAAATAGAAAATAATCACTGTCTTACTAGCTTGAAGAAGCAGAAAATAGTGTCATACCCAACATCAGCTCCTAGAAAAGTTAGTAGGGAAATTTGGGGTAGAATGAGAAAATCAGTAAAGCCTCCAAATTTAAATGCTGCCCACAGCTTTGGCTGATCTGTGAATTGCATGCACAGATCAGACCTCAAGCAAGGATAAGGCGAACACTGCTGAAGGAACAAGGTGACCTGTGTTGCTCTACCTCCTTTGAAGGCACGTGGATCTCCTAGTTGTTCCCTCTGAGCCAGGCTTCACCCCTGCAATCAGTCAATCAATCTTCCACACTATGATCCCAAAGGAGTCTTTCTAATGGATCATAGCATTTCCCAATTTAAGGTCTGTCAAGAGTGATTTTTCATCAGATTCAGAATAAAGTTCCGATTATTGGAATGATAAAAAGCTACTTGGCCCATCCCATGTTCAGCTTTGCTGTCTTCCAGTATTCTGCTATGTGAACCCTTACTCCAATTGTGAAAAACACTCGTGCTCCAACTATACACTGCTCCATCACACATCCCATCTCTGCATGTTCATTGCCTCTCTCTCTCTGGATCATCTTTCCAACCCCCTTTACCTTTACTCCTAGTGTTTCTTCAAGACTCAGTTCATGCCCAGATAAGTCAAGACCTACCCTCTGTGATTTCATAGCTAAGTCCACACATAAATTACAACTTATTTACCATGTGTAGGTCATGTTACTGTCTGTGCCCCTCACTAGGTGATATCTTTAAGATAGACCTTCGATATCTCCATATCGTCATTGCCTTGAATATTCAAGAAATATTTGATGATGGAATAAACAACATCATTAGAGGCAAGAAATTTGAAAGAATTCCATCAGACAAAGGAAACAGAGATCTAGACAGATTCGATGAGTTGTACATAGCTACGATTCGATGAGTTGTACATAGCTACACAGCTAATTATGGCAGAAGTCAAACTGGATTTGGAGGGAGGATTCTGGGGAGCGAACCCAGGGCTCTCTATCATGGATAGCTCGCCCCCAGTCCTTTTTATTTTGAGATAATGTCTCACGAAATTGTCCAATCTGCCCTGAACTCAAAATCCTCTTGCTGCAACCTCCCAAATAGCTGGGATTACAGGCATATGCCAACAAGCCCAGTTTTCATTTACTTTTTCTGGTTTGTTTGTTTATTATTTGTTCTAAGATAAGGTTGAAGCCTTGTAATTCAGGCTACCCCGGAACATATGATCCTCCTGCCTCAGCCACCTGAGTCCTGAGATTACAGGCAGGTGCCACCACACCCGACTCTAAAATTAGAATTAATACCTGATGTGCTATTCTCTCCTTTAATATAACTTCTCTTCTACAGGCATGCTGTACCACTTATGAAAATCTCACCACAAATTTCACTATGAAAAGTTGCCCCTACGCGTGGTAGGAACACATACAATTTTAAGTAAAAACTATTCCAAGATATTGCCTCACTACCAGCTCCTATCGGTAGGTATTGAGCACCTCAGGAAAAGTTACCTTCAAATTTGCAAATTTTTTTTCTGTCATAAAGTATTTCAAAGTCAGTGTCTTCTAACCGTCAGCTGATCTGCCTCAGTGCCATTTCAGATGATGGTTCTTACAGGAGGTGAAAAACCTGGGATTTAAGGAAGCAAAAACTGTTTTTAAACTACTGTGGAGTGGCTTTTGTGCCATCCTTATTGTGAATTGAGTCAGATTAGAGGGGCTGCGGATATGCTCAGCACTTGCCTAGCATGCAAAAAGCCTTGGGTTATCCTAGCACTGAAAAAGAAAAAATCTGACTTGATTGTTTATGTCCCTGCCAGTGCATAGAGGCTGTAACTGCAGCCATTGTCTGCTCAGTAAAAGTAACAGAGTCAACTAACTGATACGCAGCTCTGAACACATGCAGAGCCCAAAATAAAGTTACTGGACTCTGCAAGGTTACCAAATTCTGTATAATTATAGGACCACAGTCTCAGAACCATGTCTCTGGAAAATGTTGGAGAATTATTTCCAAATCACTTCTGCTTGGTATTTTATAAGCTCGGATGGTAACAACAGATAGCAAATAATATCTTTTATCTTTGAATTTGCATTTTTTGTTTCTTTTCTACACCACAAAGGCTCAGAAGCTTGTCATTAGTACAATGAAACAACAGATTTATTCTTAAAAACAAATAGATTTTTGTTTTTTTTCTGTGCCGGACATCAAATCTACGATCCCACGTATGATAGGTACGTGCTCTTTTACTGAGCTACAGGCCCAGCCCCAATTTGATAGTATAATAGAGGAAGTAAATTCCTATTTAATGACTATTATTATCTCCTAATACATCTAAAAATGAAGTTGCAGAAAAGCACCCTACAATATGAGAACATATATGACATAAAATAAGTATTTTTCTACATTTAGATATCAATATTAACTTATATTTTTGAAAACCTATAATGATAATGCCCACTGTAGGGGAGGAAAAGCAATCTCTTCACCCATTGCAAGATTCATTGCTCATATCCCTATAAAAAAGGACAGATTTACAAGAGAAAGGCATAACAGATATATTTAATACAATTTTACATGGCACGGGATCCTCCAGAGATGCAGAGCTAAAGACCCAAGGAAGACTGTGTATTTTCATGGACAGTCACGAAGAAGTATGATGGGGAACTAGAGTAGGATCTAATGTAAAAAACTGGAAGGAACCTAACAAAACAAGTTTGTTCCAAAAATTTTTGGTGTGGAATATAGGACAGGACTCTCCTGGATGAGGGTCTTATGGCTTCTTTCTGGAGAGGCAGGTCAGAGAATTCTTCTATGGTCTGCTTCAGGGGAGAAAAGTGGAGAAAGTCAGAGAATGACCTTCTTGCTTCTGTAGTTTTCTCAGTTTTCTTCATCTTAAACTACTCACTACTCCAAGTACCATATCTTTTGAGTATCGTGTTCTGATCCCCAGTACAATAAAACTGATGGGAATATCACCTCTGAAGACAGACATTATATTGAATGGAGAGAAGTTTAGGTCACATGCAGCTTTTTAAAATTTACTAATCTCTGTATTTTCAAAGCTTGTATTAATAAATCTAAATTATATTGACTATTAATCATGTCAGTTAAAACACTTTTTACGTTTTTTTTATTAATCAATTTTATTGGTACATTTTAGGTATACAACATAATGACATTCATCATTGGAAATCTGCACCTTTACATAATCTATCTTGGTTCTTTTTTTTTTGTTTTTGTTACCAGGGATCGAACTCGGGACCTTGTGCTTGGGAGGCAGGCGCTGGAACCACTGAGCTAAATCCCCGGCTCTACCTTGGTTCTCAATGTTTTCCCCAATCCCCTTCCCTTTCTTCTTCAACCCTTCCACCTAAAACAATTTATCATAACAGAATGGGATTTGACCCTATTAAATAGACTTTTCCATGCCCTTAATTTTCTATGTCTTTCCACAGTAACTTTGTTACTATCACACAATTACAGATTACAACCATTTTTCATGAAATAGCTTAGAAACAATTTTAGTGAGTACATGGTATGAGGTTGTGTGCGCTCCCACATGTACACTGGCTCTGGAGCTTTCCCAGAGCCATCTGTGTGCTAAGCCTGTTCCTTACCACTGAGCTGCAGCCACAGGATGTATCTGAAATTTTATTGTATAGATGTAGTATAATTTAAGCCATGGGCCTTTTATTCCCAACTACTTGAAATGACTTGTTATCATCTGTCTATCTATTTATTTATATTTGGTGTTTTTTTATTTGAGACAAAGTGTTGCCATGTTGCTCAGGCTGGCCTCAAACTCACTATGTAGCTCAGACTGGCCTTGAAAGTGCTATTTTCCTACTTCAGATTTCCAGATACTGAGATTACAGACATGCACCGTCATGCCTGGTGTGAAACAATTTTTAAAACATTTTCTTATAGAGTTTTCCAAACATGTACAAAGTATGTATAATCCAGCTTCAGTGATTATCAATTTACAGCCAACTTTATTTGCCTAAAATAAAAATTTTAAACCAAGCTACAGTCTCAGATACTTGGGAAGCTGAGGCAGGAGGATCACTTGAGCACTGGAGCCCATGAATTCAAAATTGCCACGGCCAAGATACTGACAGATTACCTAAAAAAAAAAAAAAGAAAAAGAAAAACTAATTGACCCCATTACTCCATTCATATAACTTTTGGAACTTCTTTTTCTTTGTGATATCTACTTCTGGAAATAAAGAGGACACTTTATGAATGTCTAAATTCTGATCCACTTACCAGTCTCAACAACTTTACCCTTTAAAAATCTTCCTTAGCTGGATGCAGTAGTACATGTCTCTTATCCCAGATCTCCTCAGCCCAGGAGTCTGAGACCAGCCTGGGCAATGTAGTATTCTCCAGGAGGCCCTCTATACCCTAAACTAGTGTTCTTGTCCAAGGAGCAGCAGAATAGAATTTTGAGGCCAGGAGCGTGAAATAGGCTAGAGAGCAAGATGAAAGGAGTGTAGACAGATAAACTTAGGGAGGCCCTGTCTCAGAATAAAAGCTGAGAATGTAGCTCAGTGTGACGGCCCTGGGTTCAACCTCCAGGGCTGTCAAACAAACGCACCATGGGATCTTTTGGCACAGAGGTTATTCAGAACCACGGACAAAGACTATGCACTTTTCTTCCCCTCCCACCCTCACTGTGGATAGTGTGTGCAGGGAAAGACTTCAGAGTGGCTCAAACATATCAGAGTGTATCAAAGTGGCTGGAAGGAAGGCACAGACAGAAGCCAAGCTGACATCCACAGAGCTCAGGCAGAGACATGATAAAGGCCTTAAGATGTATCGGTGAGACTGTGGTTTGAAACCATAATCCTGCTGTAGATAGACAAGAGCTGTGAGATTTGCAGTGATGAACAGGGTCAAACAAATGTCTAGGTCCTCCAAAACCCTCAAGGTTTTGACATTTGGAAGCAGGTATCTTAATTCACTATCAATTCTTTTGCAATAACCCAGAGGAGATTAAGAAAATACAGTGAAAAAAAAGGAAGACAGTTAAGGAAAAGGAAATGGATGAGTTCTGTCATGATTATTTCTGGCCTCACCTTAGTTATTTCACTTTAATTTGATTAATCTCTCAAGAATAAAAAAATGATTTTATATGGACCGGTTTTAGGAAGAAAATCATAAGCACCTGTGTATGTACATGTGCATATGGACTGAAAATTTTGTCTTGGTTTTATCAACATAGTTGGGCTAAATGGGCAAGAGATCACAGTTCATAGAGAAAATATTGTTTCTATTAAGAAGAAAACCATCTCTTACATAGGCAAGAAGATAGTCCTCACATTCATCAATTAAATGTTTTAAACAAATGACCCTCTCTTTAGAAGAAACAAAGCAAGAGTACAAGAGCTAGGATTCTTAACCACAAAGGCTCTTTTCTCAGAGACTGACAATTCTGCCGACCTTGTGGGAAGAAACTATAGATAGAAGTACAAGTTTGGCAAACAGGCCAGCAAAAGTGGTGAAAGACCACATTCCTATTTCATTTTGCATAATTATCATGAACACAAACATCACTGGCCAGGGCACAAGTCCGCATTGACCTTTGTGGAAGATCTGGTATGATGTAATCTATAACAGACTTTTTCCAAATTTGTGCTTTGTTATCAGATGCTTTTCTAGCAGAAAGACTCACTCCCTATCTCTAGTAAGAGATATACAGAAAACTATATTCCTCCTAAAACCATGTTCAAGTTTGGCCCAATATCTAGGAGTGGCAAGGGCCAAGCCTGGACAACAGTGGTTTTTCTTCTGCAAATGCTATGATTAAGGGATTAAAGTCAACTAATTGGACAAGTTTTCTTTTCCTGTAAAGGGATAGATAGTAAAAATTTTGAGACTTTGTGGGCTATACAATCTTCTCTATCACATGCTCTCCTTTGTTTAGTTACTGTTTGTGTGTCTGTGTGTCTAAGTGTCTCTGTGTGTGCACGTGTGTTTGTGTGCGCGTGGTGTCAGGGTCAAGTCCTGGGCTTTATACATGGTGGGCAAATGCTCTACCACTGAGCTACACAACTGGCCCTCACTCTCTCTCTTTTTTTACAATTTAAAAATGTAAAAAACATTCTTAGTTTGTGGCCTCTCTGAACATAAAGCATAAGTTAGATTTGGCCTGCAGGATATAGTCTGACAAATTCAACTCCAAATAACTTTAGATGAAAATGTGAATTGCTTGGCAAACAAAGATTTAAGCTACCAACACAATATGACTCCAACCTATTTCACTTCTCACTTAAAACAAAATTTCTGCTGCAATCACTACAGTTTTAGACACCTATCCATCTGCCAGCTCATACTTTTGCTACAATGTTCATACTCCCCTTTACTAATTGCACAGTATTCTATGTTTTTCAAGCTTTTGAAAGTCACTTAGAAATCTACCTCCCTTGTGAAACTTCCCTTTACCTAAGCTCTTCATTCCTTAAAATTCCTAAAGAAACAATATTATAACTACCGATTTCTAAAAAATTATTTCCATCTCCAAACAACTACCATTTATTGAGCACATATGCTAGTTACTCTTTAAACACTTCACTTTTACAATAGTTCTACGAAGTCGGTGCCATTCATCCCTATTTTATAGATGGACAACTCAAGGCTCAAGGATGCTAAAAATGTGCCCCAAATCACATAGCTACTAAGAAGCAAAACAAACTTTTCCCCCAGCTTATTTCACTGAACCTGAGATATACGGAATGCATCTGTACAAGCTGGTAGAGGAAAGGCTGTCAGGTTAAGCAAGTTCAGAAAATTAGCAATGCTAAATAACTATTTTCACCAAAGGATTTCTCAGACCCTTTTCTATACTGATATTGTGCTTTATACATTTCCAAAGGACATATGTTGCATTTCCCAAATATATTTGGGAATAAAATCATTTTCTTAATGACCATCCACCTTATGACTGGTATGCCATGTAACTCATTTCAGGAAATGGGGCAATTTTTGTCTTTGCACAGGCCTCTGCACATATTAGGCACTCAATACACATTTCTTGCAGAAAAAATTTACTTCTTAAAGTAACATGTAATTCCATCCCTCTTACAAGAAGTTTTAAGTCTAATAATTACTAAATATTCCAATTTAAAGAATTCATGAGACTAAAATCAAGAGGAAGAAAATTTCTACCTGTGCTTTTATGATATGCATGAATCTTGACATCAACTCAGGACATTCAAGGAGAAAGTGAAAGTGGTCAAATATAATTTTGGGGTTTCTAAAAGAAAAATATATTTGTATGAGTGGACAGGAAAGATGAGTACTATAATTGAAATGTAAATTCAGATACAGAGATCTGGAAGTAAAGGCAAAAAACATATTAATCCCCACCTACTACATTTTCAATTGTTACTAAGCAATTTTCAATTATAACAGAAATAGCTTTTTAGATGAAATTATATGTAAAGGAGAAAAGGCGGCCATGGCAGTCTCTAAATCCCAAAAAGCCTTACCTATTAACAAAGCATTTTAAAACTTCACCATGTTTGCAGACAAATTCAATGAAACGAGGTGAAGTCATTCTGTAGGAGGTAAAAAACCATAAGAATACACAGATACAAACTGGTGATAAGATACAGCAAATGTGATAAACATATACTGAACTGGACTAGCTTCTAGAACTGGACTACCTTCTAGACCTTTTCAAAGAATTTGAGTTTAGATCTTCTTTATAATATAGAAAACTGAGGCATACCTAGTCAATTTTTAAAGTGAAATAAAATATCTAACTTCTCCTTAATAAATGATAGAAGGGCCGAGGATTTAGTTCAGTGACACCACACCTGCCTCGCAAGTGCAAGGTCCTGAGTTCAATATATATATATATATATATATATATATAAATAAAAAATACACACACGTACAAGAGATCCTATAAAAAGTGGCATTCACCATTTACACAGAAATAACTTACATATCACTTGTTCAAAATTTAAATATTTTGTACCAGATCTAGATTTGTACAATGAGTATCCTAAAATAAGATCAGAATAGAACCTAGAATCAACAAATAATTATTTGTTGTTACTGAAATTACAAAAATATAGTTTTTCTTCATCTATCAGAAAAAAAAAGCTACAACCTTCTTACCCTGGAGGCATCTGACAGGAGCAGCACATGTAAAAAGCTTGAATGACAGCACTTAGCCGGTTGGCTGTCATAGAAATAACATCTTGACAATCTGCACTGGCTTCCTGTTTCCCTGCAAGAGCATCTGGTTTAGATTCTCCTGTGCCAGTCGATAGATGTTCATAGCTCCCAGGTCCTGGAGGTTCAAATGGTGGAATGGAAGTAGCCCCTTGATCTTGGCCTTTTTGTTTCAGTAAAATAGAAGTGGTATCTGTTGAATCCTTCTTGTTTTTCATCAATTCTGTAGCTATTAAAACTAGCCATTCATCTAATGAGTGCCAAAGCAATTCCAGAGGCTGAGAGAAAAAGAAATATGCTTTTTAATCACTCTTAAACTACAAGACGAAAAAACCAAAAACAAAAATCTACTCCACATAGCCAAATAGTATAAAAGAAAAAATACTAAATACTTCTATTTTCCAAAGTTAATGACAGTAAAGATTAAAGGTAAGTAGCAAAAATAGATAAATGTCATATATATGGCAAATTTCTTCATTATAGCAAACATTTAATCTGCACACACAAGGTATGATAGAAAAATATGGTGAATATTTAATTATGTATTCTTTAGAAAAGGAAAATGTAAATCTAACAAATATTTCATAAGCAATCTCATTTCAATTTTCAAATATTTAGTTTTAAAAACTCACAATTATGTTAATCCCCCAGCATTTACTTTATTATGCAAACAATTTTCAACTACATAAAACATATCTCTTTTCAATCTAAAAAAAATGAAAATTCTTAAATAACCTAATAAACAGTTGATAGTGCTCCCTTTTTATGGGTATTTCTAGAATTTTGATAATTCATGAGAAAAATTATAAAATGTAGCATATTCATACTCACATAAAATATGCTTACACATATACACACCATAATCCAAAGTTAATAATAATATTTAAAACAAAAAATATAAATACCAAACCTAAATAAATACTGACCAGCAAAGTTTTTGGTGGCAGAGATCAAACCCAGGGTCTCTTACACATGCTAAGCACATGCTCTACCACACTCCCAGCCCCCAGCAAATTTTTAATTCCAAGTAAAGATTAACAGTTTAAAAAAAGGCAGGGTTGCTTCTTACCCCCAGACTATTTTAAACACTCCTACTGAGAATAATGAACTTCCTTCTGTGATTTAGTTAATGTTAATGCAAGTAACATTTTATTTTTTAAATCATGTCGTCATAAATGCAACAACAGGAAGAAATACCAAAGATAAAACATGAACTTTATAGTAATTTGCAGTGGGACTTGGTGAGACATGGTTATAATCCCTACTCTCTGGGAGGTGAAAGCAGAAGAGTCACAAGTTCAAGCCTAGCCTGAAGATACAGCTTACTGAGACCCTGTCACAAAATAAAAAATAATAAAGGACTAGGATGTAACTCAGTGCAAAGGCCCTGGGTTCGATCCCCAATAACACACACACACACACGTAGTTTTTTAAAGAATCAAAAATATAAATGCCCACCTACTTTATTAAAAGACCTGCTGGTATATTTTTTATCCCAAATAAAGATTAACTGTTCTTAAAAGGGCATATGGGTTAACAGTCAAACAGTCTGTCTTACACAGTATTTTAAATACAGTATTCCTATTAAGAATGTGAGATGTTTTTCTGCAAATGAATATGAAAATTGATCTTACTTTTTGAATCTTAAATGATCACAGAAACTAGATCATGTGCTTCTGAAAGATGTGCCCCTTAAAGAATTTTAACCCAAGAAATAATCTTACTTTTAGGAACTACTATAGAAAGAGATCATACACCCATTTTTTAGAACTTTGAAAATGTTTAAATAACCTATTCTACCAGGAAAATCTTCCCAATTATTACCTAACAAAGCCTTCAATGCATCCTCAGCTGCTTTGTTTTCAGATTTCTGGAACATTATCTTTCTGAAAACATTTTACTTATTCAATAGGTAAGTAATTAAATTACCCCAGTTATTATTCAAAAATTGAAAATAAAACAAACTAAATCACCACTACTACATACAGACCAACAAAGTCTAGTTCATTCACTGAATCAATGTATTAGGGAGGCAAGGAAGCAGTATTTCCTTTTTTGCTTTAGCCAAATTTTCCCTCCATAAGGCTAAACCAAGCACCCCTCTCATCTACAAAGGGGGCTTTACCATAGTTAGGCACAAAAGTTGGAATATTTTCTTCCCACACTCCCGCCAGCATTTGCTATTGGTTGATTTCTTGACAGTAGCCATTCTTTCTGGGGTGAGGTGGAATCTCAGCGTTGTTCTCATCTGCATCGCTCGAATAACCAGTGATGTTGAACATTTTTTCATGTGTTTATTTGCTGCTTTTACTTCTTTGTCTGAGAAATGTCTGCTCATTTCAGATGCTCACTTTTGAATTGGGTCTTTGAATTTGGGGGGTCTGATTTTTTTCAATTCTTCATATATTCTAGATAGTGGTCCTTTGTCTGAGGTACAGCTGCTAAAACTTTTTTCCCGTATTGTAGGTTGTCTGTTAGCTCTGTTGGTGGTTTCTTTTGCAGTGCAGAAGCTTTTTAATAAGATGAGATCCCAGTTG